TAATGAAGCACTGGAAACACTCATCTGCCAAAAAATTTAGAAGAGAGCTACTTGGTGAATTGACTGAAAGAGATTCATATTTGTACCCCTTCCTAAGAAAGATAACCCAACAGAATGCTGAAATTATGGAACAATATCATTGATATCACATTCAAGTAAAATTTTGCCGAAGATCATCTAACAATGGTTTCTGCAGTACGTGGACAGGGAGCTGCCAGAGGTTTAGGTCAGATTTAGAAGAGGATGTGGATCAAGAGATACCATTGTTGATGTCAGATGGATCTTGGCTGAAAGCATAGAATACCATGAAGATATTTCCTTGTGTTTTATTGACTATGCAAAGGCATTCAACTGTGTGGATCATAACAAACTATGGATAATCTTGAGAAGAATGGGAATCCCAGAGCAGCAACTTGTGCTCGTATAGAAATTGCACATGGATTGAGGCAGTTGTAACAAAACAATGGAATATTGCATGCATGCTTTAAAATCTGGAAAGGTGTGCATCAGTACATCAGTATATATGTTTCCTCTCACCAGACATATTCAAACTATGCTGAACAAATAATCGGGAAGCTGGATTATATGAAGAACAATGTGGTATAAGGACTGGGAGAAGGCTTATTAACAACTTGTGATACGCAGATGATACAACCTTGCTTGCTGAAAATGAGAAGCCTTGAAGCATTTGCTGATGAAGATCAAGAATTTCAGGCTTCTGTATGGATTACTACTCAATGTAAAGAAAGCCAAAACCCTCACAGCTGGACCAACAGGTAACACCAAGATAACGGGAGAAAAGGCTGATGTTGTCAAGGATTTTGTCTTGCTTGCATTCACAATCAATGCTCATGGAAGCAGCAGTCAAGAGATCAAAAGATGCATTGCATTGGGTGAATCTGCTGCACATGACCTCTTTAAAGTGTTTAAAAGCAAGGATGGTTCTTAGAATTAAGGTGCTCCTAATCAATACCCAAGATATTGACTAGGAGTCGACTGATGTTTTCAGTTGACTCGCATTTGAAAATTGGATATCAAATAAGGAAGATCGAGGGAAAAAATCAGTGCATTTGAACCATGGTGTAGATGAAGAATATTGAGGCCATGGACTTCCACAAGAATAAATCTGTCTTTTAAGAAGCACAGCCAGGATGCTCTATTAAGGCGAGGATGAGGCTTCATCTCACTTACTTTGGACATGTTGTCAGGAGAGACCAGTCCCTGCAGAAGGACATCATGCTTGGCAAAGTGGAGGGGCAGCAAAAAGGAGGAAGGCCCTGGACAAGATGGACTGACACGGTGGCTGAAACAATGGGCTCAAAAGAAAAATTGTGAGGATGGTGCAGGATGGAGGGGTGTTTCACTGTTGTCCACAGGGTCACTGTGAGTTGGAACTGACTGGATGGCACCTAACAAGGACCACAGACTTTCTTTTTTTGGTGATAAGTAGTTTTAGTTGAAAACCCACTATGTGTCAGACACTATACTAAGAAGAGGAGGGAGAGGTAACACAATTGTTTCAGCCAAGTAAGGGAGATAGACATTTTAAGACAGTCAAAAAAAGAGAAAAAAAAAATCGTCCTAAATCCACTGTGATCAAGCCCATCCTACCTTACAGTGAACCTTATAGAACAAAGTAGAATTGCTTCATAGGGTGTCTGAGGCTGAAATTCTTTATGGGGGCAGATAGTTAGCAGCACAGGCCCTAATCTTAACACAGGTAGAATTAAATGGAGAAAAGCATGGGTCTCACAAGTGCAGAAGGAGGCTTCATAACAGACATTTAACCTCAATCTCCGAAGTTAAATGGAATTTCATTTTTTGTTTGTGTTGTAACCATTTTATTGGGGGGCTCTTACAGATATTTTAACAATCCCTAAATCAATTATATCAAGCAAAGTTTTACATATGTTGCCATCATAATTTTCAAAACATTGTCTTTCTACTTGAGCCCTTTGATATCAGCTCTTCTTTTTCCTCCCTCTCCCACGATCCCACTCTTATGGACCCTTAATAAATTATATATATCTTACACCTTCCACTGTATCCCTTCACCCACATTTATGTTATTCACCCCCCTCAGCGCAGTTGGTGGTGTTGGTGGTAGTTATACATCCATCATTGCTATCAGTTTCCCCTTTCTCCCCTCACCCCCACTCCCCATACCCTCATGGTAACGCTACTCCCATTATTGTTTCTGAGGGGCTTATCTGTCCTGGATTCTATGTGTCGAATGCTCTTATCTGTACATATTCCGGTCTATGGGGATTTGTGAGGTAGAACAGGGGTCAGGATAGTGGGGGTGGGGTGGGAAGGGAGCATTAAAGAACTAGAGAAATGTTGTGTGTTTTGTCAGTGCTATAGTGCACCCTGGATGAATCATCTCTTCCTATGATCCTTCTGAGAGGAAATGTCCAATTGTCTACAGATGGGTTCTGCCTCTCCACTCTGACCCCTTTCCTTCACGTCAATGTAATTATTAGTTTTTTATCTTCCAGTACCTTATCCCATTGATATCTCATGATCACACAGGCTGGTGTGCTTTTTCCATGTGGGCTTTGTTTCCTCCCTGTTAGATGGGTGCTTGTTTAACTTCAAGCCTTTAAGACTCCAGACACGGTATCTTTTAATAGCAAGGCACCATCGGTTTTCTTCACATTTGCTTATGCACCTATTTTGTCTTCAGCAATTGTGTGGGGGAGTTGAGTACCACAGAATGCCAGGTTATTAAAACAAAGTGTTCTTGTATTGAGGGAAGACTTATGTGGAGGCCCAGAGTCCATCTGCTACCTTAATAATTTTAATATATAAAATATATACATGTCAATACCTCTATTTTTATATATTAATACATTTACATATATACATGTCTATATTGATACCTCTCTATAGAGTTTTTACTTTCTAGTTCATTCCTCTATTTCCACACGGATATTTTCAAGGGAAGCAAGAATTTTTTTCTACACATATCTGCATATTATTGGTCATGACAAGTTTAATGACTTGAAATTGAAGGACTTGTAAGGAGCCACTTTATAAGTCGATAAACAGGCATCAGAGAAACCTACTTGGGGAAACCCTTTCGGTGTCTCGGCCTGTTCTTCTCAGGCTCTGTTTGCCATCTTGGCCCATGACAGTGGTGCTGGTGTTCGCAGCAGTCCTTATCTCAGGTTCTTGTTTCTTCGAATTACATACATGCCCTTACCTTCAGAGCTTCCTCACCCCAGTCTCCTTCCCTGTCCCGTGTCTGCATCTGCTCTCAGATTGACACCTGCCTCTGTACTACTCCCCTGCTGGTGTTAGTTGCCTTGCATTTGCTTCTGGTTCATGGAGACGCACTGAGTGCACAGTGCAACTGCTCCTTTCGGTTTCCGAGGCTGTGGTCTTTCAGAAGCTG